AAAAACGAAATTGAAATTACAACACAATCACACGGGCAATACAATCACATGGGCAACACAATCACACGAGCAACACAATCACACGGGCATCACAATCACACGGGCATCACAATCACACGGGCAACACAATCACACGGGCAACACAATCACACGGGCATCACAATCACACGGGCATCACAATCACACGGGCAACACAATCACACGGGCATCACAATCACACGAGCAACACAATCACACGGGCATCACAATCACACGGGCAACACAATCACACGGGCATCACAATCACACGAGCAACACAATCACACGAGCAACACAATCACACGGGCATCACAATCACACGGGCAACACAATCACATGGGCAACACAATCACACGAGCAACACAATCACACGGGCATCACAATCACTCGGGCAACATAATCACACGGGCATCACAATCACTCGGGCAACAAAATCACACGGGCATGACAATCACACGGGCATCACAATCACACGAGCAACACAATCACACGGGCATCACAATCACACGGGCATCACAATCACTCGGGCAACAAAATCACACGGGCATGACAATCACACGGGCATCACAATCACACGGGCATCACAATCACACGGGCATCACAATTACACGGGCATCACAATTACACGGGCATCACAATCACACGGGCATCACAATCACACGGGCATCACAAGGGCAATGGAATCACACGGGCATCACAATCACATGGACAACACAATCACACGGGCAACACAATCACATGGACAACTCAATCACACGGGCAACACAATCACATGGACAACACAATCACACGGGCAACACAAACATAAGGGCATCACAATCACACGGGCAACACAATCACAGTAACAGGAGCATCACTATGACAAGATCACTTCATCGCATGATCAACACAATCACAAGGATAACACAATCATAAGGACAACGCCATTACAAGAGTAACACAATCCCAAAAGAAACTAACAGTCGCAAAAAAAATTAACAATCACACGGTCAACACACTCACTAGTGCAACACTAACAATCAGAGCAACAACAGTACGGATCGCACAATTGTAACACATATTCCTCATGATAATTTTAAATCTCAGTGATTGTGTTCATGTAAATATTGGTTTCAATATCCATCTGTTTGTTCACTCTTTGTTTTGATGTTCGTGTTCTCGTGAACTAGTTTCTTAATTACTGTTCTTATCTTTATCTCCATTCCTTTTTTTTGCCAGAGAGAGAAAGAGAGAGAGGAGAGGAGAGAGAGAGAGAGAGAGAGAGAGAGAGAGAGAGAGAGAGAGAGAGAGAGAGAGAGAGAGAGAGAGAGAGAGAGAGATGGATAACCGTTATTACCAGTAAAAAAAAAATTAATTACACCATGTAAAAAAAAATACTAAAACTTCCATTGCGTTTAAAATAAAAATCTAGCAAGACATTCAACTTTAACACAACACGCGCGCATCCGTCTATGTAAGTGTTGCCGTCCAAAGCTCCTCGTATATTAGTGTTGCCCTCGTCAGCTTCTGGTATAAACCAAGTCGGCGGCGGTCAACAACATGGCAGCAGCCAACTTAATATGATTAATTGACACACACACAAACAGGCTTTAACACTGAAGTATGATTTAGCTGTCTAAGTACACTGAGAGTCGGAATACAAGCCTCGTTCCAGAGGAGAACTTGAGTATGTTAACACTGACATTATCTTCCTATACAGCTCTTGAAGTGTGTTCGTGTGTGGGATAATTTTATGATTATTTGTGTGTGCTTGACTGCTTTTTTTTTTAGTGCGTGAGTGCGTCCTCTTAAATTGAATCTCAGTTTTTTTTAGGCTTCTGGAGAGTAATTTAAGAGTGTTTCTCGTTTGTTTCAAGAATAGTTGCAAGGGATTGATAAGATAAATATGTGCATTTTTTTCCTGAGTAACGAAGATAGAGATTGACACTGGCAAACAGAAACTATATACTCACCTAGTTGTTGCTTGCATGGAGTTGAGCTTCGGCTCCTTGGTCCTGCCTGTCAACCGTCAATCAACTGGTGTACAGGTTCCTGAGCCTACTGGGTTCTATCATATCTGCATTTGAAGCCTGTACGGAGCCTCCGCCACATCACTGCCTAACACATTCTATTTGTTAATAACCCTGAACAATGTGCGCGTGTGTGGGTGTGAGAACAGATAAGACGACAAAGATGACCAGTGAGAGACAGTCACTCTACCATACAGCACAGGTCAGGCCGATTGATTGGACAGCATGATTGCTTCCTCGGTGGAGTGACCAAGTGATATAGATGGGTGGCTGAGTGGTGTAGATGGGTGGCTGAGTGGTGTAGATGGGTGGCTGAGTGGTGTAGATGGGTGGCTGAGTGGTGTAGATGGGTGGCTGAGTGGTGTAGATGGGTGGCTGAGTGGTGTAGATGGGTGGCTGAGTGGTGTAGATGGGTGACTGAGTGTGGTAGATGGGTGGCTGAGTGGTGTAGATGGGTGGCTGAGTGGTGTAGATGGGTGGCTGAGTGGTGTAGAGCTGAGGTGTAGATGGGTGGCTGAGTGGTGTAGGGTGGCTGAGTGGTGTAGATGGGTGGCTGAGTGGTGTAGATGGGTGGCTGAGTGGTGTAGATGGGTGGTGTATATTCGTCAACGAGTGGGTAGGTTGAGTATGAACACCACAGGCAGTTAATAAAGTTACCTTCAACAGCCCCAGTCTCTCTGGTTCTGAGAGGTGGTTGTTCCTGCCGTGTGGGAGCCGTGTGTAGCTGCGTCAGTGGTGTGGGCCCCAGCAGGCGGCGGCTGTGGCCTCACAACACACCGTAATGAGATCGATGATCACCTCTACAATGTTCACACACACGGCCGTGGTATTTCCGACGGCCGTCATAATAAACAACAAGTTCACTTAAAAGTTCGTTCTTTGACGGCGTTTTTCTGCAGATTCGTTAACAAACACGAGGTTCTGAAGCTTCATTGTCATGGTTCTTTTGATAGATTATTAAAAATAAAGTTATTTGGGGCGAGATTACTGACATAAATTGGTGTTGTGGTGGTGTGTATGGCAGGTGAGAGGAGGTGGTGTGGTCGGGAGCTCGGCCCAGCAAGACCTGTGGCTACTGCCTGGCCGGGTCAGCCCCGCACCGCCTCCTGCACCATTCATAAAGGCTTCATTAAGTTAGAGACGGCGGGTCGAAGGCTCCGATTCCGACGGTGCCGCCAAGGTCTGGTCGGGTCCTTGACGCGGTCTTGCTCCGTCACAGAGCCGGTTACTGCCAGCGGGCTGCGCTCTCCTCCTGCTGGCAATGTTTCCATGCTTTTAGCAGCTTTTCCTTTATGAAGAGATACAGTAACGGTGGTGGCATGAGTGGGGGAGGTAATGATGAGGTTGTTGAGTGTGGCTTGTTAGCGTGGCTCTCGTTACTGTCCGGTGGTGTCGTCCATAGCGTTAGTGTGACGGAATCTGTCCCGGGAATGTACAGACGCCAATGATCGGAATGTCAATAGGAAACTCGTATTTCTGGTCACTTGCGTCGAAGCTTGTGTTCTGAGAGCTGTAGCATAACCTGATTAAGGCCGCCGGGCGCCTCCACAGCGGGTCGGTCGCCAGCCTGCAGCCTCCATGCCAACGACGCCCTTATGCCCTAGTGATAATAGGACACGGATGGCATCTAGTTCCGCCTGAAGGATTGTGGAAAACTGGCGAGGGTTTGGACGCTAACTGTTGGCGGCCATCTCGACGATTGGACAGGAACCAAGAGCGGCAAGTCCACCTTGAAATCACGTTAAAGAAGTCGAGGATGAGGGCGAGGCGATCGGTGCCCGGCCATTGGTTGCTCGGAGGGCCTCAGCCTAACTGACCAATAGGAACGAGGCTTCAGGTTCTTGGGAGAAGAGGTCGTGAGGGGAGGGTCAGCCGCCCCCTGGGGCTCGCCAGGGCTTACAATCAGCGATATGGCTCCCTAATCTAATCGACCGCCTCATAATAACCACTCCAATCTCTATAAGTGCATACACTCATGAAAATAATATGGGAGAATTAAAAAACAAGAAGTGATTACTGCTGGAGAATTGAATTAGCGCGTGTATAAGAGAGCAAGCGGCGGGAAGGAGCTCCCACTCCTGCAGGATAGCCACTGGAGGAGACACCCTCGTCGCCTCCAGGATGTCCACGCCCTCTTGTGAAGTTCTCAGCCACCGGACACACTCACCAGCGCCCTCCGTGCCTCACCCTCCACCCGCACTCAGCCCTCGTGACGGCTCACTTCAGCGCCCCCGTCCGCCCTCCACACTCAAGTGACACTCGAGACACACTCACCAAGCTCCTGTTATTCAGTGATATCCACAGTTAATAAATGTGATTTCCCCGGCGGCCCACACATAAACATTATTTAGTGATTAACCAATAACATCAGTGATTATTTAGCTGTGATTAAATACTAAATATTTCATTAGTGGTAGGAGAGAAAAAAAAGGCGAATGTTGATCACAAAAGACTTTCGAGTGATGAACATCTATAATTTTATGTCGTCGACGACACCTCCCACATCACCTACACGACGAACGATCAATGAAACACTATTAAAAACGCGGAATAATTTGATACTTAGAGTGATGCTAAGTTAGAGTAGTGGTCTGTGGCGATGGCCTGTACACAATATTGTGGTGACCTGGAATGGTTTGTAATTCAGTTATGCTTTAAACGTTTTTTTATGGTAATACAGTCGTCGTCGTGATACAGTGGTCGTCGTGATACAGTGGTCGTCGTGGTACAGTGGTCGTCGTGAGTGATACAAAGGTCGTCATGAGTGATACAGTGGTCGTCGTGGGTGATACAGTGGTCGTCATGAGTGATACAGTGATCGTCATGAGTCATAGCAGTCGTCGTGGGTGATACAGTGGTCGTCGTGGGTGATACAGTGGTCGTCATGAATGATACAGTGGTCGTCATGAGTCATAGTAGTCGTCGTGGGTGATACAGTAATCGTCGTGGGTGATACAGTGGTCGTCGTGGGTGATACAGTGGTCGTCATGAGTCATAGTGGTCGTCGTGGGTGATACAGTGGTCGTCGTGGGTGATACAGTGGTCGTCGTGAGTGATACAGTGGTCGTCGTAAGTGATACAGTGGTCGTCGTGAGTGATACAGTGGTCGTCGTGAGTGATACAGTGGTCGTCGCGAGTGATACAGTGGTCGTGGGTGATACAGTGGTCGTCGCAAGTGATACAGTGGTCGTCGTGAGTGATACAGTGGTCGTCGCGAGTGATACAGTGGTCGTGGGTGATACAGTGGTCGTCGTGAGTATTACAGTGGTCGTCGCGAGTGATACAGTGGTCGTGGGTGATACAGTAGTCGTCGTGAGTGATACAGTGGTCGTCGGGAGTGATACAGTGGTCGTGGGTGATACAGTGGTCGTCGCGAGTGTTACAGTGGTCGTCGCGAGTGATACAGTGGTCGTGGGTGATGCAGTGGTCGTCGTGAGTGATACAGTGGTCGTCGTGAGTGATACAGTGGTCGTCGTGGGTGATACAGTGGTCGTCGTGAGTGATACAGTGGTCGTCGTGGGTGATACAGTGGTCGTCGTGAGTGATACAGTGGTCGTCGTGAGTGACACAGTTGTCGTCGTGGGTGATACAGTGGTCGTCGTGAGTGATACAGTGGTCGTAGCGAGTGATACAGTGGTCGTGGATGATACAGTGGTCGTCATGAGTGATACAGTGGTCGTCGTGAGGGATACAGTAGTCGTCGTGAGTGATACAGTGGTCGTCGCGAGTGATACAGTGGTCGTCGTGAGTGATACAGTGGTCATCGTGAGTGATACAGTGGTCGTCGCGAGTGATACAGTGGTCGTGGGTGATGCAGTGGTCGTCGTGAGTGATACAGTGGTCGTCGTGAGTGATACAGTGGTCGTTGTGAGTGATACAGTGGTCATCGTGGGTTATACAGTGGTC